CTTTCGATTGACTTTAACCCATTCCCTTTCACTTTAAACCCTTATTCGCTAAAGCGCTCCCGTATGTTCCTCATACATGTTTATGGAGCATCTCACCTTGAGAAGCCTTGTAATCGATCCAGGCGTCTAGTTTGGCCAGAGCGAGGCGCACCCGGTGCCATCTGCCATCAGCCACGGGCTGTGGTGATACGAGCCAGTCTCGTGCAGGCAATCCGTCAGATAGACCAATTGCTGATACCACAAGGCGGCCATCAGCTGCCAAACGCAACTGAAAAGCTCTAAGAGCATTCCACTGTACATTGACTAAGGAGGCAACGGACTGGCGAGTGCGGAGAGAAAAGGACACTTCGAACCAAGAAGACTCAGAAGAATGAGCAGTCGTACGCACGCGCCAATAGACGAAGGAGCCACCAGTGAACTGCAAACTACCTTGTTCTAAAAAATGAAAACAAAGTACGAGAATGAAAAAGATCATGCCAGAATTCAGTTTATAGTGAGAAAATGTGAAACTTGTGCCAACATTTGCCTTTAGTGATCAAGTGGTTTGCGAATTAAGTTTGAGAAAAATTCGAATAGCAACGAGGTTCGCAAAGTCCTTATTAGCAAATGAGGCCTGAGCGCGGATCATTCAATGCTTACAAACAATTTCAAAACCCAAATATTGAAAAATAAAAAATAATAATAAACAAGGCGCACACCTCGTTGCATGAAACAAGCAGGTGTGTAGCAGACTTCGTCCTCGATGCCGCCCACCAGTGGCAAGATCGACTCGCAATTGGGGCCGGTTCGTGGAGGTGGACAAATGCATTGGTAGGCAGAGAAGTCAATTGCTGAAGAGGCCCCTGAACCCCGAGATGAGGTAACACCCACTGAGAGGGATTGAACGGGAGAGAGAGGTGGGCGAACAAGTTGTTCGCTCATATCAGGACCAGGCGACGGATGAGTAGACAGACAGACACGCGGCTGTGGGCAAACGGCGCGTGCGCATGCGTCCAGCGGAGTGGTACAATGTGGTCCGGTCAGATGAAGTGGGCAGGCACAGTGCAGCTGGAGGTGGAAACGGGGCGAAACCTGGCTAACACGATGCACTTCGACCCGGTTAAATTGACCCCCAGCGGCGTCCAGCTGTAGGCTGGTTGTGCAGCGGCCATACGGGCAGGTCTGATGCGGTATAAGGGAGTGGTGAATGACGAGGATCGGAGCAAAAGTGGTTGGTAGAATGCAAATTTGAAAAAGAGCTGACTCGCAAAACTAACTAATGAGGGACGGAGTACAAAATGTCTGAATAACTATTAGGATAAATTTAAAAGTTTGATATTTTACTGCTTTTAAGTCAATACTTTGTTTGAAATTTATTGGTAAGATTATTGAAAATATTCACAAGACTAATAAATTCCACTTAAGTTTCCACCTTCAATCGAGACATTAATATGGTTAAATGTATTAGCTTACTTCCGTTTCGAGTGAAAGTGTTGGGTGAAGATATTCGGAGGTCGGTTCCACCAGAAGACGACGGCGGATTCCTCTTGACCAGCTGTCGATTGGCTTTACTGGAACTCAAACATGAATTTTGTTGTAACAATGATACCTTGCTCTGATGATGTTCGTCATGACGGATAAAAGCTTAGCACCTTTTCACCGAAATCGAAGGGGATTACCTCGGAAACAGCGTCAGCATGAATCTTCTAGTAAAGCCAATCGACAGCTGGTCAAGGGGAATCCACGGTCAAT